CCCGACCCCCCCCCCCCCATGACTGGCAGTCCCCGTTCCAGAGGAGGGCCCCAAGAAGAGCGCCATGGTGGAGACCCTGCTGCTGGGGTCCCTCTTCGGTCTCTGGTACCTCTTCAACATCTGGTTCAACATGTGGGTGCCGGGAGTGGCCTTGTGTATTCGAGGGGCGTCACTGGTGGGCTGCCTGGCGTGTTATGCAGGCCCATCGCCGGGGGTTGGGAAGCACAGCCTCAGATCAAGGCCTCCCCTGCCCCACCTCCATCCGCTCCACCCCCCAACTGCAGCTACAACAAGCAGGTGCTGAAGACCTTCCCCCACCCGCTGACCATCACCGCCTTCCAATTCTTCATCGGCTCCCTGGTGTCCCTCACCATGTGGACCCTGGGCCTCCACAAGAAGCCCCAGGCCAGCACTGAGAACGTGAGTCGAGGGATGGATACTCAGGGAAGTCGCGCAAGGGACACTGCATGCCTGGCTGCACGGCACGACGTCCTGGCGCCTGCCTGCCCAGCCCATTCAGCATACCAAATGGACCCCCTCTCCCGACTAGAACCCTCTGTCGCTTGCATCGACACCCTCCCACGGCACAGGTCATGGGCGTGTCCCCCCTGGCGGCGGTGCACACACTGGGCAATGCGCTGACCAACATCTCGCTGGGGGCGGTGGCGGTGTCCTTCACACACACCATCAAGGCCCTGGAGCCCTTCTTCTCCGTCCTGCTCTCCGCCATGTTCCTGGGCGAGTCGCCCACCCTGCCCGTGGTCCTGTCCCTCTTCCCCATCATCGGCGGTGTGGCGCTGGCCTCCACCTCCGAGCTCTCTTTCACCTGGGTGGGCTTCCTGGCGGCCATGGGCTCCAACCTCACCTTCCAGTCGCGCAACGTGCTGTCCAAGAAGTTCATGGGCAAGGGTGGGTTGGTGGGTGAAGGGTGGGGTGGCAGGAGGCTGCGTGCCTCCTGAAGAAAGGTCTGGAAGGCGGCCTGGGCCTGGCGTCGATGCTCGGCCGTGACGTGGTGTGATTGGCAGATGGTGCTCATCACCAGTGCGGAATTAAGAAGGGACAATGCGCTCCGGCAGAGCACCTGATGCCGTGCGCCGCAGCAACCCATGGTGCCCCGCTTGTCACACCAACGCACACGTGTGACCCGGCAGGCAAGGGATCTCTGGACAACATCAACCTCTTCTCCATCATCACCATTCTCTCCTTCTTCATCCTGACGCCCATCGCACTACTGCTGGAGGGGGTCACTTTCACCCCCGCCGCCCTTACCGCCGCCGGCGTGCTCAACCACACACTGCTGCTGAAGCGGGCCGTCATCGCCGCCCTCTGCTTCCATGCCTACCAGCAGGTGAGTGGATGAAGGGATAATTCCTGGCACAGACACGGGCATTGTGACATGGGACTTTACTGGAGAGTTGTGCATGGATCGAATGCCACGACATTCTGACGAAGAGGCGATCGATACTCAGGGCACCCTCCACACTCTGATCTCTCGCCGCAAGCGCCGATACATGAGCATCCTCCCCCCTCTTGACCCCTTCCCCACCCTCACCCATGCCCAGGTTTCCTACATGATCCTCCAGCGTGTGTCCCCTGTGACCCACTCCATCGGCAACTGCGTCAAGCGGGTGGTGGTCATCGTGGCCTCGGTGTTTGTCTTCCAGAACCCCGTCACGACACAGAACGCCCTAGGTGAGGGGGGCGGATGGCCGGCAAGGTGGGGCTGAGTACAGGGTTCTGGCACAGGCCCTGCAGGAGGGGTGCCAGGGGCAGCGATTTGTTGCCGCCAAGTTGACGAGAAGCTGCCCTGCACCGAGCACTGCAAGTGCTGAGAGGCAGCTGAGCAAAAATTCACCATCACATGCACCGTGCAGGCACGGCCATTGCGCTGGCGGGCGTGTTTGGGTACTCCCAGGTGAAGCGGCTGAGTGGGAAGCCCAAGGCTGCTTGAGCGGTGAAGTCGACAACTTCTACTTGCAGGGACACCTCCCCACAAAGCAAATGCTCTCTTGCATCGTACCAGAACTCTGAAATTCAACCATTACTGCCTGCCTATCCTGCAATGTGATGGGAACACCCAGATCCGGTGTCATGACATGGACCCCTGGAGGAAGGAGGATTCCATGGGGTTGGCGCGCGACTTCCCGGAACGGATGATGACCCGGTTGCCCAGGGCGGAGCCAGGATGGCCGGCCCTCCCTCGCTCAAACCAGGCAAAGTTTATTCCGAGCGCGCTGGCATGCCCTGCATTGCTTTCGCTCCTATCTAGTGATATCCAGGCGGCATCGAGGAGAGCCACCAGGGACCCGACCTTGGCACCCACTCGCACGCCCACACCCAAGCCTGCGCCCTGCGGTACCTCCGAGCAGAAGTGCACCGCCGAGGAAGCCTTGAGCCAAAGCACTCCCCTTTTGGATATTCGTGCGATCGCTCTCGGCGCCACAGCCCTTGTACCTCCCCGCGCCGCAGTCCAGCATGTCACAGCCGGTCATCTCCCACAACCTGTTCTCGGCGCTTTCCAAGTCGAAGAAGAGCAAGACAAACCCCAAGCAGAAGGTGAAGAAGGTTAAGGAGGTAGAGGCGAAACATGCGGAGCTCGAGAAGGCCATCTTCTCCGCCCCGGCTGTGCCGATGACGAACTGGGCGGACGACTCGGACGAGGATCTGGAACTCCCCGTCACAAGCGGTCTTGGAAGCGATGGCTGGAATGAGGTGAGATGGACCCTCGGGGCATTGCTCGGGCCCGCTGACAGGCGTTGGCTCGGGAGTGGAGGGGCAGGGACCTCCGATGGTCGGTCACCCTTGTCCCTTAAGACGGTGCCCATTTCACTGCAGGCGCCGCGCGGCGCCCAAGCTGCTCGGTATTCACCCTTCCCGGAGGAGCCTGCGGAGGCCGAATCGGAGAGCGAGTACGAAGAGTTCGAGCAGGTGAGCAACTTCACCTGTGTGTTTGTGGGGGCAGGGGTAGGGCAGCAGCAGCATGCCATGGAGCCCTCAGCCTGCAGAGCCCATGACCAGGTTGCCAACGAGAATACAAACCCTGTGCAGGTCGACCATGGCGACATTGAGGCAGAGCTGGGTTTGGAGGTTGCACACAGCGACAGCGAGGAGGAGGAAGAGGAGGAGGGCCAGCCTATGCCGGCCGAGGGGGGGGAAGAGCAGGCGACAGCCAGCCCTGCAGTGTCTGCTGCGCCAGTCGCCCCTCGCCCACCGCAGCAGATCCTCTCCAAGAAGGTGGATGGGGTTGTGTGCGGCGAGAATGGTAGGGACATGACTAACGCTGAGGAGGCTGCAGGTTTGTGATTGACTGCGGTGACCTCTGTCCAAGGCCGCTGTGATGCGCTGTCACCACGGCTGATTCCGAACCCTTGCATGACTCTCACTGAGCCAGCCGCCCGACATTCTCGCCCACAGGAGCTCAAGAAGCAGGAGCTGGCGGAGCTGGATGCTGTGCTGGCGGAGCTGGGGGTCGAAGATATAAGGGCCCCGGAGCCCGCGCCTGCTGCTGGCGACACCACCTCCGCCAAGGCACTCAAGCGTCGCCAAAAGAAGGCACAGAAGGGCCCCGGGACCAACGGCGAGGCTGCTGCGGCGAGCCGGCCAGCGTCACCTGAGGCTTCAGAGGAAGCAGAGGAGGCAGGGGTGAGTGCCCCGTGCTGAGAAGAGCTGTGGTGCAGAAGGGAGCGCCCTGTTGTTTGGCAGGAATAGGAGTCAGCAACAGCAGTAATGACTATCCCATACAGGTCCCCTCACTGCTAATTTGTTGCAAAAATTACTCACACTCCGTTCCACTTCACCCCACACGCAGACTGCTGATGACGGGGCCGAGGCCATCGACCCCGAGGAGGCGCGCAAGCGCGCCGCCGCTGCTGTGGCTGCGAAGAAGCGGAGCTCTGCAACGGCTGCTGCCGCAAAGAAGGCCATCGCAGGTATGAACAGAAGTTTGCCTGCAGGTGGCCCTCAATCTCGAAGCCATTTGTTGTATGAAGTGGGCAGGGCCAGGAGTGGCCGAGGAGCCTGAGGATCAGAGTTGAGTAATTAGCTGACATCTGCTGGCACTCCTGGGTTGCATCTGAAGGCAAACCGGATGACCACTCCCCTCCCCACCCGCGAACCCCATCCTGTGTCTTTAGCTCCCTTGATCCTCCTTCCACAGCTGCGGCCGCATCGGTGGCGAGTGCAAAGGCCAAGGACAAGAAGAAGAAGGACACTTCGCGCTACAACCAAGCCCCCAAGCGGTGACCTGTCTGGTGACTGGCAATGTTCAGCTGCGTCTGGACCCTCTGTCGCTGCCCCCGTGTTTGCCCCTCTGTGGCTGCTTGCCTCCTTGGCAGGATTCTGATCACAGGCCGTCCCCTTGCCTTGTCGATGCTTGGGAAGGAAGTGACGTTTCTACAAACTGAACACAGTGCGTGTGGCTGAACGGGAAACAAAAGGGCTAACACAGGGGTAATATGATACCTGGGGCCCTCTGTGGCACGCCAACGGCCTGAACCTGGCCCAGGGGTGCCAAGGCCATGCCCTGGGTGACCCGCAGATGCTGCTCATCGGTTCAGGGCATAGAGGATGGCCAGCGCAAGCACCAGGAGGGGCAGCACCGCCCTGAGCAGGGCGGTGGACAGACTGGTGGTCCCGGCGGTCGACCCAGCCAGCGTACCATTCTGCTTCTTGGTCTTGACCGGCAGTTCACCACCCTGTGAGACAGGGGAAGGTGTCAGGCCACCATGCACCTCATGGGAGCCAGGCCGCATGCCGAACCAAGTATCTGGAGACATCCACAGCGCAACTACCTGGACACCTCAACACGCTCGGCCACAAAGACTCACCACAAATTCGCCGACATAGTATTCCTTGAGCATGTCCTTGGCGGTCTTGCTGTGGCCAATCTCCTCGAAATCCTCTGTTGCGTCCTTGCCTGGTGCAGGGAAAGGATGGTTTCCAGGTAAGAACCAGATCGAGCCATTGGCCACTCTGACTTGGGAATGAAACGCCTGGCAAACCGAGGCCTCCCACACCGCCCTCTGCACCGGAGTTGGAGACCACGATGTCGTAGCCCCCAGGGTGCTCGTCCAGGAAGTCTGTGACATTGTACACTTTGCCATTGATGGCCATCCAGCAGTCTTTTTCTGTCTGGTGCAGTGACACTTCTGCGAGGTCGAAAGTCTTCGCACCCGGCGCGGTCACTTCAGCCATGGCGGTCGACTTCGTAGTCGCACCGGGCGAGAACGAGGGCAGGAGGTTGTCGGCAGGAATGGAAGGGCCCAAACTCAGCTATATTGCACAAGTTGTCGCCGGTTTGTGGTCCAGGAGGGCGAGGCATTAGTTCGGGCTTTTTATCGTCGACGCTCCAGCGCAAAGTGTGACGTGGCCTGCACCTGCATCGCTGCTGCATTCGCAGACATCGCGGACTTCAGGGAAGCATTGGGCGGCACACGGCACACCCGAGGCGCACGCATCCGTATATTGAGGGAATGGTGCAGGCTTCGCTGCTCGTCGATCCTAGACTGGACGACGTGCGGGCTGCGATCACCGAAGCGCGTGCACAGGTCCGTCACAATCCTGCCAGGCTGTGATCCGCTGCATGCACAGATGCTCGATGAATGAATTGATACTCTCACTCCTGTCGCAGCTCGGTACACTGCGCACCCTTGCCAACGAGCTGCTGGACGTGCTGGCTAGCCCAGGCAAAGATCGTCAGACCTCCATCAAACAGATCATTTCGAGAGGCACTGAAAGCATCTCTACCCTCAAACGTCTCACGAAGACTCTGAGCCCTGCATTGGATGCTTCCAGCCGCGCGCCTGACGGACCGGCATCGGCTAGCCTGCTAGGTATTGGGTGGGTCGTGGTGGTGTTCTGAGCGGCTATGACTGTGACGCAGGGCAGCTCTTCACTCCACCATCAATGCTGCCCCTGCAGACCGGGCCTGGGCACTGCATTCAGGCGAGGAGCTCAAGGACGAGCAGGTCGAAGAGGAGGTGCACCCCGCAGCAGAGTACCCGTCCCGCCCGGGCAAGAATCTGTCGGAAGTGTTGGACAACCTGAGAGCCCTGGCCTACCTCGGCATCCGTGCCGACGCGCTGTCCGTCACCGGGAGTCACTGCGAGCCTGATCAGGCCAGGCGCGTCCGCCTCTCCATGCCTGGCACCTTTGTGGCCCTGCTGGGCCTCCCCACGCCGGGCGGCACGGCCCCGATCTGGGCGACAATCGTTGGGCACGAGGAGGCTCAGGGCGCCCTCCGACGCCCCTGGGCTGGCTCTCGGCACGCCGTGTTCCGGGCCTTCACCCAGCTGGCAAACGGCACGGTCTTGCACGAGCTTCGGACAGGCTCAGCAGGGGTTGCGCCTGCGGAGACAGCAATTCCCACCGCCCTAGAAACCGTCGTCCTCTGGCTGGCCAGCTACTCGGTGAGCTTGGGCAGGGACGGTGGGCTTGTCCGACAGCCGCCGGCAGCATTCCTGTTCAGAGCACGCGAGTGTGCCTGCCTCGCGCTGAATCGAGTCCCAACGCATCACCCCGCACGCATGCAGGATCTCTTCAGCCGCCCCGCGACCTCCACGAGGCGCCTGCTGCAGAGGGATGCCGCCAGCGGGGCCCTCTTGCCCCCCCTCCTGCGCCCACACACGCTGAGCTGGCACAGGCTGGGCCTGGCAGCCATGGATCCCTCCCAGCGCACCGCCGAGCACGCCTCTCAGTCGCTGGCCCCAATACTCCCAGCTGATTGAGGGGCGTGAATAAGGCCAGGCCAGCCATACGGCGACACGTGGAGCTCTGGTCTCCACCATGAGGCAACATGGTACTAGGGAGAGCGCCTGAGGAATCAGGGCTGCGCATGCGGGCGATCCTCACCCTCCTCGCCGCTCTGCGAGCCCGCCTCTCCTCCGGGTGCTGGCAGCCCTGCTCCAGGCACCAGCAACCCATCCTCTGGCGGCCCCACTGCGCCCAGTTGCTCGGTCCCCCCCGACGAGGATGCGGCGGTCCCGGACCAGCGCAAGAGGCGGCTGCCCCCCTGGCCGGCGCGGTTGAGCGAGCTCCATCGCGCCAGCTGCGCCCGCAGCTCAGTGACCAGGCCGTCGGCGTCACCCCTGGGGCCGGCCGGATCCAGCAACCGCGTCAGGCCCTCCAGAGCCGCAGCGGGGTTGCCCCCCGTGGCCTGGCCCGCCCGCACTGTGGTCCGCACGCCCTCGAGCCGGGTCTGCAGGTCCTGCAGAGCATCGGTGGCGAGCAGCAGGGCCGCCACTGCCGCCTCAAACTCCGTGGCAGCGTTGTGGCTGGCCACCGAGCCCAGCCCTGCATGTGTGTGTACAGGAGGGAGGAGATGGCGGAGTTGGAACGGTGGCTGCAAAGACGATGGCGCGGCATTTGTACTGCACAAGGTCTAGCACGCCAGGCTCCAGAGGTCCTGCATCCTGCTCAGAACGCAGCCCTGCAGTCCCTACTCCACCACGCGAATCGACCCTCACGTGACCTTCAAATCCCCATGCACTCTGTAAGCTCTCCACACAAGCGCACTGCTCCCCCCTGCGCAGCCGGGCCGCTCACCCGCGCATGCCGCCTGGCCCAGCGCGGCGCGCAGGGCCCCCGCCGTGAAGCCGGCGGCGCCGCGCGCCAGCGCCGCCTCGGCCTCGTTCAGGTCTGCGGGCTTCAAGGCGGGCAGGCCGTGGGATCGCGCCAGCTGCACCTGCGCGTTGTCGCCGGACAGCAGGACCACGGGCATGGAGGCGGGGCGGGGCGGCGCGGCGGCCGCCCCCGGCCCCCGGATCTCGTTCTGGAAGTAGAGCGCCACCTCCACGATGCGGTGGTCGGTGCGCTGCCCCTTGGTTGCCACGGCGGTGCTGCGTGAGCCGGTGACCTCGGCCCCGGCCTCCACTAGCAGGCCCTCGCCCTCGTGGGCGCCCAAAACCGTGAGGATGTCCAGCCCTGAGCGCAGGGTGTCGTGGGTGGGACAGGGGTGAGGTCAGCGCCGACAAGGGGCTGGGGACGGTCAGCTTGTGAGGGTTGTCAAATTCAGCATGCCAGGGCCGCATGCTGCGTAAGGGTGCAGAGCATGCCGGCCACAGGCTAGCAAGCCAGGCCGCAGGTCGGTGGACGCCAACCACACGCCACGCTCCAAGCGTACCCGCTGGGCCGTACGTGTCCAGGCCCTTGGAGAAGAAGCGACGCACGGTGAGGCCGAAGCCGGCATCGCCCTTGAGCCCATCCAGCTGCTTCACCACCGAGTCTGTCACCACGATGAACACCTGTGGAAAGGGGGAATGGTTCAAGAAGCATTGAAGGCAATCCGCTTTCAAACTGGGGTGCTGGAAATGACCGTCACCCATGCTCAGGTGGGTGTTACTGGGAGGGGGGGTGCCCTCCATTCTACCTCACTAGATTCCCACACCCTCCATCTATCACAAGCTCCCCCTGCCTGTCCATACCCACCTGCTCATTGGAGGGCAGAGTGCGCCCAAACTGGCCCCGCTCTGTCAGCTCTGCCAGTCGCTCCAGGGTGAGCCAGCAGGGCGGGACCGCGCTGCGTCTGGCGCCCAGCATGGCCAGCAGGGCCGAGGTGTCCGGGAAGAGGAGGAGCGGGGCGGAGGAGGCGTGGTGGGGATGGGGCGACGGCGACTTGTCCCCAGCGTTGAGGGGTGGGGCCGGGGCCGGGACCTCATTCGCGTTGCCTTCCCCGCCCCGCGGCCCCTGCCACTGCAGCTTGGCGCTGCGTAGGACGGCGGCCTCAGCGGGGAGCTCGAACTGGCTGACCAGCCAGGGTAGTCGCACGTGGCAGGGGTGGACCAGGAAGCGCAACTTGTTGCGCGACGGGGGAGGGCCCCTCGAGGGCCGGCGGGGGCCGGGCCGGTCGCCGGCCGAGGCTGCCAGGTAGGAGGGCACGTGGGGCAGGGCAGGGGTCGACCCAGGGTCAAGTCCCTCGGGGATGTCCGCCAGGAGGCCCCGCTCCGCATGCTGTGCCTCCAGGTACTGCATTGGTGGCGAAGGTTTGTGTGGGACTGAGCCATGCCCTTGCAAGGCGGTCGTGACCCACCAACGACTCCCACTCTTTGCCAAGCTGGGCGCCGGCTCAATGAGCCAGCTGACACACACCACACCCACCTGCCCGAGGTCGGTCAGGGAGATGCGATTCCATTCCAGGCGCAGCCACAGGGGCTTGGCTGGGGGCGGCTGCGTGCTCTGCACGCTGTCCATTAGCGCCCGGGCCCCCACCATTGTGAGCTGGTTGTGGGATAGGTGTATCTGCATTTGCAGGGGGAAGAAGGGATAAGGCAGGAGAGCAGGATGGTCAGCAGGGTGTCACAGCTCATTGAAGCTATGGTTTGGGCCGCAGCGATGGACTGAAATGCTCACTCCTCGGCCTGTCGTGGGCCGGTGCGCCCTCTGCTGCCAGGGCCAGGTTGGCATGTTTCCTTGTTACGCGTCGCAGCCCTCCCCTGTTCCCAAACGTCCCCCATGCAATCCCCTGACCACTCTACTCGGCTCACACAAGCCCCGCCCCACCTCCTCCAGGCCAAGATGAAGGATCCCAGCCACGGCCACCGCTCCCCTGTCCCCGCACTTATTGTCAAACAGCCACAGCTTCCGCACAGCTGCCCGCGAGCGGTGAGCCAGGCACCAGGCCGCCACGCGAGCGACCTCCTCGTCCCCCAGCTCCAGGCGCTCCAGGCGGAGCGAGAGGGGCGTGGGCGGGGCAGGGCCGGCCGTCGCAGCCTCGCCAGCCTCGCTGGGCGCACCCCTGAGCCACAGGTCCGCAAGCTCCGCAGCCAGGGTCTCGGCCGACCAGGAGCCTGCGCCCTCGCCGCTCCCCGAGGCTTCGGCCACGTGGGTCTGCACAGAGCGCGGCCCGGCGTCCGACTGCCAGACAGACAGGAAGTCGGCCAGGCCCTCCAGGAAGGAGGGGAGCAGGAAGGGAGCGTCTGGGTGAGGCGTCACGGTGACCAGCCCCCCGGCATCCTCCTCCCAGACCACGGCATGGGCGCCCCTGCCGTGCACGGCTGCCGAGTCGGCGACGCTGCGATGCAGTGGGGAGGGGGAAAAGCGGGCCTTGCCCCCCCTCCTCGACTTGGGCGTGCTGTCACGGTGGTCAGCCGTGGTCCTGGTGGCTGCTGGGGTGTAGGAGCTGCCTGGTGGAGGAGCACGTGGGGGGGTGGGGGCCGTCCCTGCCAGCCCCTCTTCCACGCCCATTCCTGCCACTAGTCCCACGCCCACGAGCCGCCCTCCCCTGTGTGGCGGTGGTAAATACTCAGATGGAGGCATGAAGAGACGATGTGGGCATGGTGACAACAAGATAGGATCGAGCACCCCGCTCACCCCAATTCGTCCTCCATGTGGAGTGGTGACCATGGGGTGGGGAGCCACTGACATTCGTCAGCACACCGTCTTCATCCTCTGCGTCTTGATCCCCGTAAAGCTACGGAACTCATGGTTATACAGTTGTATGGTGCAGATCAAGCAAAAGCTTCCGGCTCGATGGTTCGAATGAACCCCTGCACAGAGAGATCTCGCGTCAGGGCGCGGAATCATGGACCTGTTCTCAGGACTTTAAAGTTGGGAAGTTGTCCCAGATCTGGGTCACCACATCACCCATCGGGTTCGGGTCGAGGTCACATAGGTGTCTTAGATCCCACAAGGAGCTGCGCGGCCTCTCGCTCACAAGCGTGTGGTGGTCGGGAGACAGTCGTCGGAAGGAGGGGCGTTGGGACTGGCCATGCAGTCTCTGCGCACCTGGTTCGGGGGGTCGGCTACCGATACAGAACCCCCAGCATCAGTTTTGGCAGAGTGGAATGCGTACAGCGCCACTCCCAGCTCATCCCGAGCCACCGACCGGCTTCTCACCTCCGCTGAAGAGGGAGCGGCAGGGGTGACCAAGTTCGTGACCGAGGCGGTGGGCGTCTTCAACACCCGCGTATCTGGAGCAGCCAGGGATGTGACTACGACAGTCCAGAGCGTCCAGTTGTGAGTCTCGTGACAATGTGGAGTGGAGTGAGGCGACGATATTGAGAAGAGCGTTCACACCCTGGGTGTTTGAGTCTCCTCACACACTATGCTACCCCACTTCAAATGATGACATCAGCTTACACTTCTCGCCAGCCTGCTGCTGGGATTCAGGACTACTCTCACAGGAGCCTGTCACACGCACCTTACCACAACCCATCGACCCATTCCCCGCAGCATACCGAGCGCCGCTCAATGGACATACTTTGCGGTGTTTGCTGGCACAGGCGTCATGTTCCTGCTGGCGTCGCTGTTCGTCTTCCTCCCCCTCATCATCCTGTCGCCCTCCAAGTTCGCGCTCACTTTCAGCCTCGGCTCAGGCCTCATCCTCGCCTCGCTGGGGGCCCTGAAGGGCTGGCGCCAGATGGCGGGGCACATGACGGCAAAGGAGCGCCTGCCATTCACTGCTGGTGTGCTGGAGGGAAGCGGTGTGCGGGACGCCCTGCACGTCAAGCTCTGGGAGCACAATCATGTGTTTTGGGTGGTCATGATTGCCGACGCTGAAGCACGCTGGGGTGTGGAGTCGAGGAGCCACGCCCTCACAGCTCACCCCGGGTGCCACCCACTCTCACACAGCATACCTCGGGAGCCTGGTTGGGACCATCTATGCTGCTGTGGTCATGCACAGCTACGTCTTTTCCATCATCTTCTGCGTGACTCAGGTGCACCGCGGGCCGTGGGACATATGTCAAGGTACTGCGGTGCGGCTCTTGTCGTGTTGTGCGATGACCGCTGTACCCGACAACTCAATACTGAGCCTGCTTTCCATGTTGCTCCCTGCACAGATCATCACCTTGCTCTACTACCTGGCCTCCTACTTCCCTGGCGGAGCCACGGGGGTGCAGTACCTTGTGGGTGGGATGGGGAAGGGGGTGTTCTCCCTCGGGGCCGCGGCGGCCCGTTCTGCATTTTCGCGATGATCCTTACTTGTACACAGTGTCAACTTTTCAAAGAGATTGCATTGCCATCGCAAAGCCATTCATTCAAGGAAGGGGGTGGGGGTTCGAGCATGGTCAGCACACTGTCGAGCAAGGAGTACACAAGGATGGGCGGCAGCTACGCCTTGCGCAGGCCGGCAACAGCCTTCTCCACCTGGGGCACAACCACCTGCGCTATGCGAGGCCGGCCGAAGCGTACAATCAGAATCCCAATCTTCAGAGTGTACGCCATGAGCCCCTCGACCTTGCCCTCCGACAGGGCGTAGAGGGCGTCGTCCTCCTTTCGTAGGATGAAGAGCTCCGTGCCGCCGACGGTCAGGGCCTCGCGCACAGCGTCCGCTGTCATGACTGCCTGGAGCTCTTTCGCTGCGTCTGTGGCTTCTCCATTCCCAGACGCATCCAGGAGCAGATCCTGAGCATTTCCAAAGGCACACTGGACCCTCCCATTGACCTGGATCAGTCCGTAGCCCAAGATCACGTCTTCTATCAACAAGCTGCGAAGCCCATCGTCCCAGCTCTCAGCAGCCATTCTGTATTGTGGAGAGATCTTTTGGTCGATGCCATGGACCTCCAGATGCATGGCACAAGATTTCTTTTTATTGGGTATGGTTGGGTTTCACCCTTCGTGGCAGGGAACCAAGCGCGCGCAACCTCCTTCGAAATTTGCTCTCGATGCTGCTCACGACCACAGCTTCCCGTCTGTTTCGTGCAACTCCACATCATAGCGCAGACAGAAATCTGATGCGCGATAGTTTAGTGGTTCTTTGATTGTAAAGATAAATCCTATCGGGGCCCCCCTCCAAACCCTGACCTTCACAATCTGTACAGCCGAAGATGTCTCACTGCCGTGCCCTGCCAACGCACTGCAGAGCCGCGCAATTTTCTCCGCAGTCCTGCGCATCCAGACATTCATCAGTCAAGAGTATTAGTCTGAGGTCTGTGGCCCTGCGTTCGTCTTCGAGGGTAGCACCTCGACGGTCACACGCGTTCCGTGTTCAAGCAAATGAACTGAATCGCTGGTAAGGCGTGATGCAGTGCGACCATGTCATCCCCATGTAACTGTATCATGTGCCTCTAAACCGACTCATATGAGGTACTCGGCCCACCTCGGACCTCCAGGGCGGACAAGGGTGGGATGGACGACGACTGTGCGCACGACTACTTCGACAGGTGAGGGTTCTGAGCACGGGGGAGCAGTTTGGCACCTGGACGCGCACATCCCTTTGCCATGCTGCTGTCTGGGACGTGTGTGGGGGGTCGTTGGTCTAAAATCCGTCATCCTGCATGGCATACGGTAGGGTCTCACTGCCATCCCATGGTGCAGGACCACGGCGGCGGTCGTAATGCGGGTACTCACAGCCCAGGCAACCAAGCGTGTGCTGCATCAGCTGCAGGAGTCTGACCTCATCATCGCACAGTGGCTCAACCACTTTTGCGCAGAGCACCCTCCCCTGGATGGCAATAAGGTGAGGGCTTTGGTGTGGGAAGGGAGGTGGCTGTGTCTGGGACGGCAGCAGGGTGGGACCTGCCAGGGTCCTTGTTATTCAACCAGGCGTGCACCAGCCAGCCCATTTGCCCCTTGCCCCCGGTGATCTGCCCTTGTCGGGGGGGCCCCGGGCTGGTGGCCACAATCCATTTGCTGATTCAGAAGTTTTGACTGTTCACACGGTGCCCATGTGTTACTCTGGTCTTACCACCATCTGAACCCCTGCCCGCAGTTCATTCTGTCGCTGCTGTCCATGAAGGGCACCACTGTGGATGAGGCGGCATTTGGGGTGACTCACCACATCAACCCCCAGAACATAGCCCACCGCATACTCATGGTGAGCGGCATGGACTCTGGGCGTGGGATGTCATGCGGCATGCAAGCTCCCCCCCGGCCCTGCCAGGCCAAAACCGCCTTGGGTTTGTTATTGCATTCACCCTCGCCACACCGCCGGTCCAACCCCCCCCCCCCACCCCGCCCCTCCCCCAGACCCGTGAGGACATGGCTCTCAACATGGCCCAGGGCCTGTCAAAGTATGCCACCCAGGAGAATGGCATGGTGCTGCGGCGGCACTTGGAGAACACGACGTACTTGAGCGGCGGGCACGACACCGCCTACAAGAGCCGCCGGGGGTACCACCGGCCCCGCCCCTGAATGGGGCAGAGCCAGCAGTCTGACGGATCCCCTGCCGTGCAGTGAGTGATCTCGGTCCTGGGACAGCACCTGCTCTGTCCCGCCACGCCCCCGTTCCCTGACGCAGGGGAGCAGGTGGCCCCTGCAGGCCCTGCCCCGCTCGTGCCCGGCTAGCCTCGACGCCGAGCTCTGTACCATTGTCGCTGTGTCTGCGCTTAGATGTTTGCTTAGGCCCGAAACTCTGCAGCACCCCACCTGTGTACCCTCCCCTTGACGAGACGATCATGCCTGATACGAATTCAGACCCCGTAATAAGCCTGCCTGCCGCGCCGCTCCCCAGGCTACTCACACTGCTATTCCCCCGTGTACCTGTCACGGCCCCCCCACCCATACGCCTCAGCCGATCGCCCCTTTAATGTAACACAATCACACTTGAAGGGGTTGGAGGCCTGGGTGCCCATCGCAGAGCTTGTGGCGTGTGTGCTGAGGTGCATGTCACTGCCAGCTCAAGTCCTCAAAGCCCCACTGCGTAGGATCGGCCGTTTGGGTTGTGGATGGCTCCCCTCAGGGCGCCGCAGGACACCGACCATTCGTACCAGACCTTGTGGTTGCCGTCGCACCTCCACATGTCCACCCTGATCTCAGACCCTGTGGAGCACAGTACAGGCAGTGAGGGCAGATTGGCACAGCGATCGCCGATGCCACAGGGCACATCCGATGCATCGGACCCCTGCCGCATCCACCCACCCTGCCGCCACCCACCCTGCGACACGACAAATGGCTCCTTGATGGGGAAGTAGATGGGGAACCAGCTGAACATCTTCGGCGTGAGTGTGGAGGGCCGGATGCTGAGGTGGACGTCCTTGTATAGCTTCGCGTCAAAGTATCCAGCCAGCCCGTGACACACTGCGGGGATGGATGGGGGAGGGGGGAAGCTGGGGCACAAGCATGCTCTGAGCCCCGATTGACGTGCACGTCTGAGCCCCCGACTCAGCCTGCATAAGGATGTATGCTTCACAACACCCCGAGTGCTTAGGCCTGCTTTTGACCTTACTTGCGAATCCTGCCCAGCAAATTCAGTCCAGGGCCCCGCTTCTCAGGAGCCCTTTTGGTCCTGGCAATCTCACCTGTTGTGCCGGGTGGGGCAGCCTTGAACACGAGGCTGATGCTGCGCCTGTTGTCTGGCGGCTGCTGTCCCGGATGCTCAAATGTGAAGACCGCCTGCGTGGAGAGGGGAACAGGTTAGGCCGGAACAGCACAACCTTGACTCTACTGAGGAGTGCAGCGGGGTAAGCAAAGACACAAATGGGTGAGACGTGATGCAGCAGGACTGGGTGGCCTGACAGCCTGGTGTCAGGCCCCAAACACTCAGGCATCTTGCCTGAGGCTCTGCCAGCGTATGGAATCGGTGGAACTTCACGACAAACGGCGTCTCGAAGTGCTCTGTGTCTCGGTAGGCCTGCGTCAAAAAATGAGAGGAAGGGGTGAATAGATCGTCTAACCGCAAGGCCACCAGTAGAGACACACGCAGCGGCCAGGTCAGCCATGCACCCTGACGGCCCAGTCTGCGGAGCTGTGAATCCCCATCTGGGACAGATGGTCCACAAGATCATTAAAATCTCAAGGCAGCCCTGTTGCCCTGCAGGTGTACGACTGCCAAACAGAAGACATGCCTCACCGCAACATCAGTCCACAGCTTGTGGGTGGTGACCGGGTGGAGAAAGGAGGTGTAGGAGCTGGGGATGGAGATTCCGCCTGGTTTCAGGAAGCGCATGGCACCGTCCAGGCACTCTGGCGACAGCTCGTTGTCGCCAAAGGAGCCCAGCAGCTCGCTGACAAGGATGTCAGCCGGCTCGGACGCCTGCCACTCCCGCATGTCTGCCGGGACGAGGGTCACCTTGCCCTGCCATCTGGGGTGGACAAAGGGTATGGTGTGAGAAAGCTCGCTGAGGCTTCTCAACGTCGGCATTGGCAAGCTAGGTGAGCAATACTTGGGTATGTTGGAAGGAATAATGAATCTTCCGAGCGCTGAAGCAGGCAAATGATGCAGAGCCAGAGATGAGTGTGCACTTTCCTGACAGTGGCTCCGAGCGGCTTTGAGCAGGCCAGGTGCCCTATCCCTGTGCATGACCCCATGTCAGTCCCCCCACATCCCATCCCGCCGCACTCTGTTTCGACTCTGTGGCTCAGGGTGACGATGGCGTTGGGGTTTTTCTCCACGGCATACATACGCACGGCACGCTTTGCACGCTGCGCCGCAGCCAGGCACGCCGCCACGATGGGTCCGCGCCCGGCTCCCACCACCATCACAACCTGGGAGGGCGAGACACGCACGTGCGTCAATCTGTGCACTCGAAGATAGGCCCTCAGCGGCCGGGCTCGCCAGGCTGAAGTGCAGCGGCCACCCACTTCCATGCCCCTCTCGACCCCTGTGTTTCATCTGTGCACTCACCGTGGCGGTGCCCTCCTCACTCCCTGCTGGCACTCGGTCTAGGAGCGCACAATACACAGCTTCCTCGTAGGTGTTGTACTTGGTGGCATCCCGCTCGAACACCTCATATGTCTGGCTCTCCAGGTTGTCCTGCAGCGGCTGCAGTGGAGACTGCAGCCAGGAAGCAGTGAAGGGAAGATGCGTTTTGAGTGGTGGAGTGCCACCATGGACCTGCCAGTCTGCACACCCTGAGCAGATTCCGGGGAAGCAAGGGGGATTCGTGTGCATGAGTGGAGCTCATGGGTGGGGCACAGCCCCTTGGCTGAGCCCCGCACACCATATGCATCCCTCCTACTTGGAGGAAGTCGCGGTACGCCAGCTCTGCAGGCTGCTGCTCAGCTGCTATTTCCCCCTTCCTGAACAGGAAGGACAGGTACTCCCAGTATGGCCGCAGTGGGTTGCTGGGAAGCTTCAAGCCAGCATCAGATTCATCGCCTCCCGGGGGCGTATGGCGGGGGGCACCTCGCAGCACGACCTGTTGGGAGCAGTGGGAGGCATGCTGTGCGCCTGCATGTGACTGCAGTGGCCTGGCCTTGAGGGAGCCAGGCGCAGCACACCCTTGGCCGGGAATGTTCACCCAAAAACCCCACCTGCACCCCCAGCTTGAGCATGGATGTGAGGAAGGCCTGATGCTTCTTGGGCAGCACAGGGTACCCACGCTTGTTGGTGGTGAAAGCGTGTGTAGGCACGACGATTGCCCTGCAACAGTGATGGGGAAAGGGGTGAGCACCCAGGCCCTCACGTTTCTGTTATACCCCAGGCAGGCAGGCCGGGGCGGCTGAGCAACTCGCATTGTCCGGCCTGCTACTTACAGCCCCGATACCATCGCACCAAACACCGGCCCCTGCAGCCAGGTGTGAAGAGCGGGACCCTTCATCCCCTGCCATCCCTGCACCCTGTCACATTCCCGAGACCTGTCCCTCCAAAAACCCACTGCCGGAAGACAAGCCTCACTTGACGTTCTCCCCGCTCCATCTGGCCAGGCTGGCTTCCGACGGCAGCTGCGCCCCCACTTCCAGCACAGCCCCCAGTCGGGTGCTGTGGGCGCAGGCAAAGCGGAGAGTGTTCCACTCCTCCCACGCGTCCTCGGGCCCACCCAGCCTGACCCTGACCCAGAGGGCCATGCCCGTCAGGGTGAGCAGGGCCTGGTTCAGGATGCGGGCCTGGTTGGGGCCTCCAGCCCCTGGCAGGATGCAGGCCTGCAGGGACAGGTGGGCCGCCCAGTGCAGCTCCTGGCGCAGGGCAGCCTCGCTCTGGGAGCGCAGGGCGGTGTCCTGGGGCGCGTCGGGGTTGATCCAGGGGCTCGTGCTGCCCACCACCTGCCCGCTCCATTGGCTGGCCGTGAGGAGGAGGTCGGAGCGCGTGAAGGCACCGGGGTAGTCTGGACCTCTTCGGAACCGGGGATGCACCAGGGGGGCCAGGACAAAGTCGAAGCCGCAGAGCAGCGAGCGCTGCATGGTGGGAGGTGCAGTACGGCTGCGTTCTTGGGCTCCGGGGTATTACGACGGGAGGCGTCCTCCAGGGCAAGCGTATACGGGGCACCCTTCAGCAAGTGCCTAAGATCCTCCCCGAATCTGCCATCGGATCGTTCCTGCCCACCTGCAGCGTGTCGACTATGTCGCATGCAAAGGCCACTTCCACGCCGCAGAATCGGGCATCGCCGCAATCGGTGCGACTTCCCAGCGGCATGCTGGTCTGGTTGATATGTTAATCCTCCACTTATCAACACCTCCTTGAGGGATCAAGCCTATTGTAAAGGCTGAGCAGGCCTGTCCATAATGGACTTCGCGCCTTGGCCGGACCCCACGTGGGAAATTCGACCGCCATGGGTCAGGTCCATGCGAGAGCATGTCGTGGACGCCCTCACACACGAGCACATGCTGTGATTTCAAACAATAAATGATTTTTCTATCCGCTCAGTCTAGCGATGCATGAGTGTCTTGATTGCCAGATCGTTTGGCCACCCGTCGACTCGACCGAACCGGCAGTCACACCGATCGAGAGCTCTCCGATGCCACGCTCATGCCCGAGCCGATACATCCAAAAGGATTATTGACATGGTTGAGGCTCATCTGACTTCAGTGATGCAGGCATGAGGTCAAAGTGATCGACGACCGGACGTTTACCTTCACGACCGGAAGCTGGCTAGGGGACGCGCCATGACCGGTGAGGAACGCGAGGTTTTGCCAGACAGGAGGCTACTCTGCCAATTGAATTTACATGCTGAGGTACCATGGTGGTGCAGAACAAAGGATCGCGGCCCGACCCAAAGGGACTTGGGGCCCCAGCGACGATTCTCGACTGATGCAGTGAGTGTGGGTCAAACTCCGTCCCTTGATGCCTGGGAGACGGTGACGGCGGGGGCGACACCCGGGTTTCCAAATTGGGATTTGACCGGGAGACCACAGGGAGGTCGTGGGAGTGTGCATCGCCAGAAGACTGGGAGTCCTGAAAGGGAGTCTATCATTTGGTGAACACTCCCTCACAGTCCTGCACCACTTATGTACCATGCCTTCCCACCATCCGACCCTGAATGCATCACTCCCGCTGCGCAGGCTGGTTCAGGCGCACGGCGAGGGCCCCTGGTCCACCATCGCCCGCGCCTTCGAGGGTCGGACCGGGAAGCAGTGCCGCGAACGGTGGGCCAACCACCTGCGCCCCAACATCCGGCGCGGGGCCTGGCGGGAGGAGGAGGAGCTGCGCTTTGTGGACTGCCACCGCACGGTGGGCAACCGCTGGGCCGACATCGCCAAGCGCATCCCCGGGCGCACGGAGAACGCGGTGAAGAACCACTGGAATGCCACCCTGCGCCGGAAGCCGTGCAGTGCCCCCGGCGGGCGGGACACCCTACTCAAGCGCTACATGGTGGAGCAGGGGTTTTGCCCCGGTCCCCCCGCCCTGCCGCCAGACTCCGGGCGAAGCAAGAGATCACGGCGGCACGTGCGCCAGGGGGCACCCCCAGGGCTGGCCGAGGCGGGCCCCGGCGCCGCCCGCCCGCGTCGGCCCCTGGACCCTGGGGCCCTGCCCTCCCCAGAGCCCGTGGTGTCCACAACCCACCCGCCCCTGCCGATGCGTGGGTCGGGCCTCGTCACTCGCAGCATGGCCTGGAGGGAGGAGCAGGCGGGGGGCCACCCTGGGCCCGTCTCCCCATGCAGGCGCAAGCCACCGCCGCAGCCGCCGTTCTGCACGCCCGCCGGCGCGGGTGGTGGTGCCGCGCCCATGCTCGACGGGGTCCAGCGCCCCACCCCATCCACCCCCGACCTGGAGTTGGATGGGATCCTGGAGTGGCTGGGTTCCAGCAGGGCCACCACGCCGTCTGTCCGCTCTGTGGTGCGTGCGAGGGGTGGAGGATGCTTGGATTCGGAAAGGCAATCCTTCTGGCACTTGCCCCCGTGCTTGGTCAGGCGCGGTCCCCATCTCATCCAAACAAAACTCAAGCCAGTCCTGGCCCACTTGCTGTCTGTCCATAGGGCTGCACAACCGGGCAGAGCATTGGGTCGCTGCCGCAGGATGGCGCTGACGACTCCTTCCTTACGCCCACCGTCTCCCTCCTGCTGCCGGCGGGCCTCTTGTCCCCTACGGAAAGAGGCAGGCTGGGCCCCGGACCGCTCAGTCCACCCAGCAGGCCGTCCCGGGCCTGATGCAGACCACTGCGAGAGAACAGGATGACAGTCCCACGGTCATCCAGGAGGCAGCAAGGACAGCCATGGGACCAAGCCCTGATCCAGGACTGAAGCCGACTTCCAGCAGCATGCTGTCTCTGATGTGGATGCCCGAACGCTGTCTCTCCCAGGGACAAGGGAACCCTCGCGGCCTCGAATCCGGCTCAGAGCTCAAGAGGGCAGCTGCCCCATGCGCAGAAGCCGGCAGGCCAGAGCTTGGTGTCGTTGCTTCATTGGCCTGGAGTTGCAATGTCTGTGCTGCACAGAGTACGGGGCGACTCTGCTTCCTAGGCAATATCCTCCTCTGTTACCACACCCTGATATCCAGTGTCCCACGAGGCACCAGGGTCATCCTGGGCCCGATGAGTGAAGGACTACAAGGGGTCATGATCCAGGTGAAACTGCAGAGAGATATTTTACATGCGGATCACATTCCCTGTCGCAGTGGGATGAGAGGGAAGACCCCAGAAGAGATGAAAGTGGTGGTCGGAGCCAGCTGTAAGAAAGAGACGGCATGGCCTCAGGCAGCGTCAATCTCCCTAGGGTGTTGGCAATGGCCGGACTGCAGGCACATCGTGTGCAGGAGCTTAAGCCTCACGAGAAAATAACTGCCCCGGCCCACCAAGGAATTGCACCGCCTATTGATGAGAGCGTTAAGTTGCTGCCACGGTTACCAGCCCTTCTTGCTCCTCCCCGCCACGCCCTCCAGCACCGGTCCCCAGCAGCCTCCTGCTGGCCCTGGCCAGGGCCTCTTTGAGCAGCTGCCAGGCCAGGTTGAAGAGCACCCGCGGCACCAGCAGGACACGGGATGGGGCCGCCAGATGCGCCACCGCCAGGACCAGGCCATAGATCCGCGCGTCGCGCTGCGCCACCCGCGCCAGGCAGTCGAGCGTGGCGGTGAGGGAGGCGGGGAGGCGGCGCGCGCCGGGGCCGCTCACCGTGGTCATGGGGTACCTGGGATGATCCAGGTGGGGTTTGTGGGCGGGTGAGTGTGGGAGAGGGGGGGTCATTCCTGCGCTCTAGACCCCAGCTCCTGCCGTGCGGCAGTGAATGGCCAGCCATACACAAAGAATCCTGGGTCCAGGGCAGGGAGTCAACACAGCTAAACCCAAACCCTTCAACCTGAGGTCCGTGCCGGCGGCAAGCGCCCAGGCCGGCTCCAGGACATCGGTCGCCAGAGCTCGCTGAAATGCCTGGCCAGACAGGCCGGCCAGCCTGTGGCGTCGTGCTGGCAGGTCGCGGGCGCCGGCCAGCGCCTCTGTCAGCTGCCGGCGGAGGAGGAGGGCCGTCTGTGCAGCCACAGTCATGCCCTGGGAGATGGAGAGTATCGAGAAGTTGCGGGGTTGCCCAATCTGAGACCGTGGTTTCGTCTGGCTGAAAAGCAAGGGGACACTGCAGCAAGGCGTGGCATGCACACAACTACGTGGCCCCGCTGTTGCCCTGCACTCAGGCACATGAGCATGCCAGCCGCTCACCTGTCCATACACGGGGTTCAGGCCCTGCACCGCATCCCCTACCACCAGCAGGCCCCGGGGCAGGGGGCACAGGTCATAGCAGCGCCGGATGTTTGGCCAGCCTCCGTAATTGTTCACTGCGCATGTGGCAGGCAGGGAGGCAGCGAGAAGAGGTGGGCCAAAGACTTTGGTTGGTCTTCTTGGAGGCACGCAAGCCTGGGCGGTAGCGCAGCCGCATCTCCTGGCTTCCACGGATCAAGTATCCACTTTCCCTTCCAAACAGCTAGCATGGGCTCACCGGGGGTGAGGGGCTTGCAGCGCTGCAGCACAGAGTGCATGGTGGGGTCGGGCAGCTGCTTTGCGGCTTCCAGTACCCCCTCCCATGTGCACGGCGCCCGCGTCCCTCCCAACTCTGCCAGGGTTAATTGCCAGGCTCGACCCTCGATGGGCAGCAGCACCCCGCCTCGTTTTCCGTGCGGCTGGGTCTTGCATATGTACAGCGAGAATGCCTGGGCCGGGAGAGGTGGGGAGGGGAGGCATGGCCGGGAGGTCGATGTTGGATGGCGGAGTTTGCTGGGTATTTTGCGAGAATCACTTTCCACGCTCAACATAAGCCGCAGGTGCCCAAGCAGAACCTTGCACACAGCTCCTTTCTGATGACTGGCATTCCCTGATAATTCCTTGCTTCCCACGCACCCTCACCTTGTGGCAGTCCCAGTCTTCCGGCCATGACACTGTCAGACTGGCGGCGACCACCTTGGCAAGCACCCTGCGCTCGGGAGGGGGGGCCCACCCCTTCTCCGCCAGCCACTCAGGCAGGGAGGAGCGGCGCCCACTCGCCTCCACGACAAGGTCTGCCCCCAGTTGACTCCCGTCTCCACAGTGAATGCCTGGGTAGGTGAGGCCGAGCGGACGCAGTAAGGTGATTGACGGTGTCCCTGACAAGCCTCCGTGACTGTCAGAACATCATGCCAACACATCACCCTGAATCAGCTTAGGTGCAGCGGATAACAACCCCTGCCAACTCACCCACGACTGTCTGATGGTTTGCATCCCATGCAAGGCCAGTGACCATCGTTCGGGGAATGAGGCAAAGACGTTTCCCTCCTGTGTTGAGGAGGTAGGCATACAGCTCCTCCTCCAGCAGGCGGCGAGACACCCCCAGCCCCTGGGCATTGTAGAGAAGGCATGAAGGTGTGAGCGGCATGGAAAGGTCTCCACTGGGACTGCCGGGCGCTCGAGAAGATTTAGAGCTCAAAGCAACACATGGATTTTAAGAGACACTGCAAGCTACCGTCCAGATGTTTCGAGCTGACAACAGCTTGCAAGATGTACGTTGATCTGAAGACAGACTTGATACCTTCAGTCCAGACACGTAACGCGGGAAGAGGCCACCATAGTCATGGTATGCGACGTCCTTTCCAAGATCCAACTCCAAAGCGCCCCTTGCAAGCAGCTGTGCAATGAGTTTGTAGAAGGCTCAGAGGCATTGTAGCTGACCTCTCATGTTTGAATGTACGACCATCTCGTTCTGTATGCCTCCAGGCATGTGCAACCACAGCGTCAGCTACACTACCTGCTGCCTGCAGCCGGGCATGAGTTCCTCCATGGCCATGACTCCACCCACAAGGAAATTGTGCGGCTGATTGATTTGAGGTACTCCAGACCTTCTATTCGATGTCTGGAATCGGAGACCGTAGGCTTACATTACCGCCTAGTCGATGTGTTTCTCCATTAGACAGTCAAGACCGGTGTCAAGCCCTGGGCTGTCACATAAACGCAGATTAGTCATGCATGACCAACTCACCTCCTCCCAGCTTTCGCTTGCCACGGTGGCCCGCAGAGGGTCATTGCGTTCAACCAAAGTGACGCGGTCGAAGGTATATAGGAGGGCTTGAGCGGCAAACAGGCCCATCACCCCTCCACCCACCACGATGGCATGCAGTCCTTGTTGGTCTGACGTCGGGGCGCGACTGGTGACAAATGCTGCTCCCTTGCCGACCAAAGATTTGCATGAGGCCCTAGCAAACGAGGTAAGGCCATTATATAATATCGAGCGCGTTTGGGTCCCACATTGCCGCGCAAGTGTCTGGCGCGAGGCCATCTTGGGTGCAACGTGGGTGATGGGTACCAGACCCGGCTGGCACCGCGACGACTGGCAGTTGACGGCCATGGCAGCCATCGGCATGTGCAAGTGTTATGGTATGGTTGCGAGAATGACTCTGACCACTCCAGTGCCCAGCATCAATTGAAAGAATGACGTCGCTCTTGCGACTCCTGGTCTTCGAGGGCCAGCAACTCTCGTGACATGCTGTGCATGCCCGGACCGAAATCGCCATGCGAGGGATAAGGCGCGCGCGGAAAACAAAGTCCTTGTGTAGTTTGAGCATGGAAAGAAAAACACAGCATACCAGAAAGATATTTGAAGCATACTTCCGCCATTCCCGTAATCTCTAAAAGGTCCCGCCCCGTCGGCCGAGGTTGCATATTAGACCGTGAGCAACTGGAGTTCACAGAGCAAGTGCCCTGTTCAGCTCAGCAAGCCACTACTGCTTGAGGTCCTGTTGCGGGATGGCGAATTGAAGTTTCTGTGAAATGAGTTTATGGAGCGCCAGCAGCATGCAGCACGCTAGCGCGCCTCTAAGCTCGAGCAGCGGTAGATGTTGGCAACGAGTGTCGTCCCCAGCCTTCACCCAGCGGCTACCACGGTATACCTGCAGAAGATGCACGCCCAGCGTGGTAAGCAAAACACATGGTTGCTGAAGCGTCTGTTGTCCTCGACTCCAGAGTTTCTTCATCTCACGGCGCACCCCCCTGTTTCATGCATAGGCCCGGCATGCAATCAAGCAACGTCCGCTCCAGACCTCTACCAGCCTGGAGGTCCTCCAGGCTCTGAGCGACGACGACTGGGAAGAAGACGATGGGGACGTTGATGCAGCAGATTTTGACCTCCCTGAATCCTCATCCTTCCCTACCAAGCGCCTGCCGGCAGAGGTCCGATGCTTTGACACCGCTACCATCATGGTGGCGGGGGGCACGGGTGGCCGCGGCTGCGTCGCCTTTAGGCGCGAGAAGTTCGTTCCGCGCGGGGGCCCCTCGGGCGGGAATGGGGGCAAGGGGGGCGACGTTTACCTCGTGGGGGACGCCTCGCAAAATTCCCTGCTCTCCTTCCGGCGCTCGGTGCACTTCAGGTGGGCATGGGGTGGGGGGGTGGAAGCGAATGACGTAAGGAAAGGTCGGCTACAGCTGTCTCGCCTGACCATCAGCTTCCTCATGAGCACCCATACCATGGGCTGCATGCCACCTGGCCCTCGCTTGGTATGGACTTGTCTCCCAGGATGCTCTGCTGTTAATGAGTCTATCAGCCCCTCAGCCCCTTACCCTCCCACCCTCCCATCCTCCTCACCGTGCAGGGCGGAGCATGGGGAGCCCGGCCAGGGCTCTGACATGCATGGCCAGGGGGGCAAGGACATCTCGGTCTCCGTCCCCCCCGGCACCGTGGTGTGGGCCCGGGATGCCGCTGCGGGGGACCCCCCCCTTGGCGAGGTGCTGGCGCCAGGTCAGCGCGTGCTCATCGCCCGGGGAGGAAAAGGCGGGCGGGGAAACCTGGCCTTTAAGACCGCAAGGAATACCGCGCCAGCCTTGGCGGAGCACGGGGAGCGGGGACAGGGTGAGGAAAGCGCGGAGCAGGGGGAACGGGATCGGAATTTTGCAGGGCCCACATGTTCCCCACGTGTTTTCCCCTGTGCCCGTTGTGGCGCAGGCCAGGCTGCGGTCACTATGGCAAGCCCGATCCCCCCCACGCCTTGGATGTCGCAGCACCCCCTCCCTCGCTCCGGCTAGCTTGTTGTCAACCCCCCATCTAACCCCCGATTCCTCCTCGCTCTCGCTCAGAGACGTGGCTGAGGCTGGAGATGCAGCTGGTGGCGGACGCCGGCATCATCGGCGCACCCAATGCGGGCAAGTCCACGCTGCTGCGGGTGCTCAGCGCGGCCCGGCCCAAGGTGGCCGACTACCCCTTCACCACCCTGACGCCCAACCTCGGTGTCTGCGGCATGGACGGCAGGAGCACCGTGTTTGCAGGTGGGGCCTGTGGATGGGAACGTGTCATGCTTGGGCTGTCAGTATTACCAGGCTGTGTCCTTGCTCGGTACCTTTCCATTTTACCATCCCATCGCACATTCCCCCCCGCCCCGCCCCCTCCCTCCTTCTCGACCCACCCACTGATCCGCCCACCACCAAACACACACAGACGTGCCGGGGCTGGTGGAGGGCGCGCACGCGGGCACGGGCCTCGGCCACGAGTTCCTGCGCCACTGCCGCCGCTGCTCGGTGCTGGTCCACGTCGTCGACGGCTCCGGCCCCGACCCCTGCGCCGACTTCCTGGCCGTGCGCCGCGAGCTGGAGCTGTTTGACCCCGGCCTGGCGGCCAAGCCCTTCGTGCTGGCCTACAACAAGATGGACACGCCCGCCTCCTCCGATTACTGGCCCGACGTGCGCGCGGCGTTGTGCGAGGAGCACGGCCTGGCCGACGAGGACGTCCTGGCCGTCTCGGCGGCGGCGGGGACGGGGGTGCCCGCACTGGTCCGCCGCGTGCGCCGCCTGCTGGATGGCGCAGGGGCTTCGGGGAGCTGGGAGGAGCCGGGGGAGGTTCGGCCCGACCGCACCGGCCCCCGTGCCGACGGCTGGGGCTGGAACGTCGCCGGGGCGGGAGCCGCGGGTCCGGCCGCGACCCCGCTCCGCCCGGGCGCCGACGCCACTCTCGAGCCGGAGGTCGTGGCGCTGGCGCCGCCGCCCGCGGCGGTCAACACCGCGCGCCTCAGCGACTTCTCCATCAGCTCCGACCTGGCGGGTCCGCGCACCTGGTATGTCAGCGGCGAGGCGCTGGAGCGCTTCGCGCAGATGACCGACTGGTCCTACTTTGAGGCCGCGGCGCGCTTCCAGGGCGTGCTCAAGGCCGCGGGCGTGGAGGCGGCCCTGGTCAGGGCCGGGGTCAAGCCGGGGGACACGGTGGTGGTGGGCGAGGTGGAGTTCAACTACAGCGAGGACCAGGGCAAGGGGGCGCTGTACGGGGCCTGGATCGAGGCGCGCAAGGAGGCTGGCGTCGTGGGGCGGGGGTCTGCGCGATGGCCGCACACCACTGGGTGACGGCGGGGGCATGGATGCTTGCATCCGCCCTTCCTCAACCCATGCTGCGCCGGCCAGGGTTTCCATGGTCCTGGCCCGACCACCCCTGCGCCGCTCCCTGCATCCGCTCGAACGCGGTGCACCTGCTTGTAGCAATGTTCTTGGTCGGTTGTACACCCGCTGGAGCAGTCACCTCAGGCTGAGAACAGCGCCCATCATAGAACGCAGGTGGCATCAGAAGTTGAGCAGGATGGCGTCCACGCCCCGCTCCTTCAGCAGCGCCGTCAGTTCCACGGTCATCTCCTTTTGCCCGCACAGGACAGCGGCGGTGCCGCCAGAGCTGTTTGGGTCCACATTCTCGTCCTTGATGAGGAGAGGGGGTGTTTAACGATGGCATGAAGGGCATTGTACAAGATCTGCGTACACAGAACCAAATCATCCAGGCCACCCCGACTCCAGGCCTACGACCATTCACGTCCGTCCGCCTGCCGCCCAGCAAGCCCCCTGGCCACTCCTCTCACCGCTCACCCTGGCAAAGGCATCCTGCACGTAGCCGTCGGAGGAGGAGGAGAAGACGGGGAGCACGGTGACGCCGTGCTCGCTGCTCCAGGCCTCGATGCTCTGGGCAAAGGCCATGTGCTCGGGAGTGCGCGTCCCGTAGTACAGCCGGACACTCCTCCGGCCGGCCAGCGCCCCCGACTCTATGAGCGCCTTGATGGGGGAGATGCCTGGGTGGAGGGGGTGATGCACGGGAGGGTGAGCGGGGGTCCACGGCTGTGGCTGGCATGGGACACCGGGTGGATCTGGCAGCCAGGGCTGTGCTGCGGTCCCATGCATGCTGGACCAGCCTGCTCCTGCCGGGCTGAGGGCTGCACAATGCACACCAAGGGCACCTCACACAGGAGTACTCCCCCACCTGATCCCGTGGCAAAGAGCAGGATCGATGGGTACTGCTCCACTGGGATGGTGTCAATCCGGAAGCCCTTGCCCATGGGCTTGCTCACCAGAACCTCCTCGCCTGTGGGAGGAAAGCAAGGGAAGGGGGGTTGATCAGGATCAAACAGGCGGGCTCCCACTCCAGTCTCAAACGCCCGCACCTGCAAAGAGTCTGCCGTGCCTGGGCGCATGTAGGAATGGCACCAGTCTCCACAACCCCGCACCCGGTTTCAAGGCGCACAGATCCTCGGCAGTCGCGCCCGAGGCCTTCAGCAGGAGCTCCAGGCGCCCCGAATCCAGATCCGGCGGGGAGGCGATGGCGAAGAAGCCAGCCTTGTCCTCGGCCCGGCGCTTGGCCTGCACAAACTGCCCCGGTGTAGAGTACTCGGCCGCCAGCTTGCCCACTTCAATGACCAGCCTGTGTTGCTGCGAGCGTGGAATGGAGGGGCGGGAGGTTTTGCAGCCAGCAGAGCTGTAAATGATGTCTAGAGGAATTCCCAGTCGCACACGCAGGCTTGCACGCACACCATTCCAGTCTTCCAAGCCAACTACCTTCAGTGCTTCCTCCTTGTTGCTCGTGACCTTGGCGGGATGGAACTCGACATCTGCCCCCCAGGCAGCACGAACGAGGCCGCTCCTGCCCGGCCTAAGTCTCAGCACGGGGATCCCGGGTGTTCTGAGGGGGAGGGCGGCGGTGGAGGCTTGGAGTTGCCAAGATCTATGCCAAAAACTATGCCAGGCAGGGTCGCACCCCGCAGCGCACCTGACATTCCGAGGGTTAAGAACGGAACTGAATTTTGAATTTGCTAAGGATGCCGGCGTGGCCGCGAAGGGACGCAGTGAGCGGAATGCCTGGACACCGTGTCGGCAGGACTGGGAAGTGTGCACACAACTGAACACCAGGGGCAGAGCGAGCACCATCCGATCGCTCTCTATATGCAACCAATGGTAATTTTGGATAAAGGGGTTTGCGATCTTCCAGTCGATGAGTATCATGGTGAGAGTCGCATGATGCTTCATCCAGCTTGGATCACTCTCTGGTGGGTAGCGCGCGCAGGCGGGAACCAATCACCCAGCACCCCTGATTTGGAACCAAAAGGAGTCCAGCGAGGAGCGATTCAGGTGTCCAACGGCAGTGAATATTAGAGATCAGCTGTGTGTTTTGAGAGAGCATTAAATACTCACGGTCAGAAGTTAAAGATCGTGTCTCATTGGTAACAGGGTGAGGCACGGTCAACTCGCGGTTGCCAACACCCTTCAATACATATACTTACTGCCTGATCTTGGAAAACTTGATTGGTATGGCGGAGACATCGACATCCGGAGCGTCACTCCCCGAGCTGGTACCCAAAGCCTCCTTCATCGAGGATGTCAGTGAACACCTCCAAGGTCTGTGCGCCTAGTATGCAAGCAACACGACACACCATCAATTTTTCATCTCATGCAAAGATGAAATAACCTTGTGACGCGACTCATTTGCCGTCCCCACCACAGGTGCATCAGTCGATGATGCATTGAATGAGCTGCGGGGGGCCCACCAAAAGTACAAGTACATCGAGCAGGAGATTGTGCAGCGGAAGCAGCGTCTGGCATTTAAGCAACCAGAGATCGAGAAATGCCTGGCCAGCGTCAAGCTGCTGGCCGCTCAAAAGGAAGAGGGAACAGAGGTGTGCGGTGGGGTTGGTGGTGGGTATTTAGGTCGAGTGGGCTTGGCGGGGAGGCCCATGGTTGCGCTGGGACCCCTGCCTGGCATCCACATACCAGGACACTCTCTGAATGGAGTGAGGAACATGTTGCCCTGTGGTACAATGGCATTGCCAGCATTGCCGGGCATGCCTCAACCCCTGGCCATGACTGATGGGTACATTCGGTGCGCCCCATTACTACTTGAATCGCAGGCGGTGCTGGACTTTGCGCTGTCCGACCAGGTATTTGCCAAGGCGCGGCTGGCGAATGTGGAGGCGGTGAACCTGTGGCTGGGAGCAGGCGTCATGCTGGAGTACTCGCTGCCAGACGCGCAGCAGCTCCTGGTGAGGCCGGGCGCAGGCGCGCGGCATGGAGTTGCCTGAGTTATGCTCTGCGTCGAGGTTAGATTGTCTGAGCGGATCCGGAACAGGGGCTGCACTTGCGTCCTACACTCAGCCGCCGCCTGTGCTACCCCATACTGCACTGCCAGGAGACGCAGCTGGCGGGGTGCAGCCGCCAGTTGAGCATTGTCCAGGAGGAGCATGACTACATCAAGGACCAGATCACCACCACAGAGGTCAGTGCGTGTCGTGAGGTGGGCTGGGGCACTGTGGTCCAGGGAGGCCCATGTGCCCGCTGCTGACGTCATTGTGCCAGACGACTCGGATCAGTGGCCTCGGGAGACGCAATGCACGCCGCCCTACAGGTGTCCATGGCGCGAGTGTACAACTACGGCGTCTCCCAGCGACGGACGGCGTCTGCTTGAATGGCCTGCATCAATGGCGCTTGCAAACCCACTTGTAAGAACAGCCCTGAGCCCTTGCTGTCCGACTGGTTGGCGTTGGGTGGCAGGGAGTCAGTTCAGCCTGGGCAAAGAGACAAGAAGGCACCCTCCTTCATGATATCCTCAGTCAACAGTGATCTCTCACAGCCGCCATGGGCGGCGCAGTTCGCGGTTTTGAACGCATCAACGGTGCTGGGACTCGGACAGACTCGGGGCAGTGGGGCGCGGCACGGCGCCCGCCGCCGTGCTGCGCCCAGGCGCTCAGGCCGCCAGGTTCATCTCCCAGACGCGGAGGTGGTCGGGGATCTGGGTGCTGCGCCGCGTGATGATGAGGCCGCAGCAGGCCCAGCCGCGCGGCGCCCCCTGCCGCGCCAGCAGCATGTCCGCCTCCAGCTCGCTCATCTTTGCCGCGGTCTCCTCGGCCTGGCAGGGGGTGAGGCAAGTGTGTGTTTTCATGTCTGTGTACGAGAGGGTCAAGCCTTGCTCATTGAGTGAAGCGGCAATCTGGATCCTTCAAGGCACGCACCGCCATCTGAACCACATCGACCAGTCACTGCGCGGAGCGGCGGCGTCCATGGTCCCCCCCCCAGCCCCACGCCGTCCCCCCCTCACCCCCGAATCCAAAGCAAATCAAGCCCACCTGCTCTGGGCTCATCCCGAGGAGCTGCGGCTCCGCGGCCGTGCCGGGCGAGGCGAGGGGCACCACGGAGGAGATGCCGCGCCCCTCGCAGAACTCCACCAGCTTGTGCGCCAGCTGCTGCTGGATCGCCGGCCCCGCCCGCGCCGCGCGCTCGTGTGCGGCGCTGGGACGCGGCGAGGGACCTCGCACCGGCGTGCTGTGCCCGCCCTCCGACAGCGCGCCCCCCAGCCGCGAGTCAGAGGACAGCGACTTGGCGTGGTGCGCCGCGGTGCGCAGCGCGGGCAGCGGCTCCCCGCCGGCCAGCGGCGGCAGCCCCGCGGCGGGGGCCGCCGGGGCCGCGCCGCCTCCCGCCGTCTGGGAGGCGGCGCTGAGGGTCTCGGAGCCGGGGTGTGCCGCCGCGCCGAGCGAGCCAGACACGGAGGGCTCCGGCGCGGCGGGCGCCCCCGCGCCGCCACGCTCGGCGCCGGCGGCCTCGCTGAGCGCCAGGCCGCTGCCGGAGCGGGAGCCCGGGCGAAGGCGAGCGGCGGCAGCGGCAGCGGCGCCCGCATTCGGGGGCGCCCCCACCGCGCGGAGCGCGGCGTCCTGCGCGGCGCCCAGCGCCGTCAGCGAGGCGTCGCTGGGGCTCTTGCCCAGCGAGCGGGGCGAGCGCGGGGGCGGCGACGTGGCGCCGCCCTCGCGGCCGCGGCGCGTGCGCGCGGAACCGCCGGGGCGCGCGGCGGTGTAGGCCGGCGCGGGCACCTGGATGAAGTCGTCGGCGGGGGATCTCCAGCGCGCCCAGTCCAGCAGCACGTCCTGGAGGTAGGCGTTGTCGCGGCGCGTGGCGCGCGCCACGTGTGCGTGGTCTGCCGCCAGCTGGCGCAGCAGCAGCGGGCGGCCGCCCGGCCCGCTCACTCTCTCCTCCACGGCCTGGGTTGGCCGGGGGTTGGAGTGAGGGTGATTGTGGTGAACTGCGATGTCCCGCATGTTCCTGTCAGGTGCACATCCAGCCAGGGAACAGGGTCTGGCTCCCTCAGCTGTGACGGCCCCAGGCGATGCCCTGTCTGCAGGCTTGCTGCTACTCCTCCATGCGAGCTTACAGGTTCAGCACACCGCGCAAGCCATGCCCGTCGCCCGACTGCACCCACCCTACCCCCAAAACCAACGCCCCACCTGCATGCGGTCAAAGATCCAGAACATGATGGCGTCGCGGCCGGAGGCAAGCCTGACGGCCGTCTTCACCACCATGGTGGGCCCGGCCATGAAGCGGGCCGAGGTTGCGACGCCCAGTGGCGAGCCCTCCATGGTCGACACCAGGACGCTGCCTGCGACAAAGGCAGGGCCGGGGCAGGGGGTGCATGTTGGTCCTCTGGAGATAGCTCAACAAGGAGGCCCGAGTGAAGCCCTCTTCCATGCCAAGGAGGGCCTTTCATGACCATACCAGGTATCTGCGTACCTTCCCAGCGAGCATTGGTCGCGCACATCTCGCCCTGGGCGTTGCGTTGCTTGATGGCAGCTGCGGTGTCGTACTCCCTTGTCCACGACCCCTTGGCGCAGAGGGAGGTGACCTTCACGGTCGTGCCTGTGTGGCTGATGAGGTCCACGGAGGCGCTACCAAACCGGAGGGCAGCCTGGGAGGGGAGCATGGGAGGTGGTCTGATGCGAGGGGTGTGCCAGCTCCACGAGGCATCCAGCGGGGAAGGCCCACTCCGCCATTGTCTCATAGCAAGCGACCGAAGTTTCAGTCCCAACACTCGGGTGGAAGCCGTACCTTGCGGACAGTCCATGGCAAACCCAAATCCTTCAGGAAATTGTTGAAATTCTCGGTCTTCACCAGCCTCCAGTAGCCAGTGAAGTCTTCGGGGCCGGATGGGGGTGGGTGGGACGAGGAGGGCATATGGGCCTATCACGGCTGCCTTGAACAATCACTTGATGGCGGTTACATGCTACGATCGTTCTGCTCACCAGGGTTGCGTGGGGCAACGGACATGACACTGCGTGCTAGAGAGTTCCAGCTGCAGCGGCGTGTTTCAAAGGCTAGGGAAGCGACAGTTTTGGGTGGGTAAGCAGTTGCGAGGCCCGAGGATGCCAAGCTATCGTGTCATATTTTTCAAACTGATTTTTTTCGGTCGGCAGAACAATTCATCCAGAGACAGGAACTGATCGCGCGACACGTTTAACATCGTGCGGGATCTTGATCGTCTGGTCCGTTTCGAGCGCAGAGTACGAGAATTCCGAGACGGCCTTGCCCGCTGACCTTTGCATGCGTCTCGTTCCCCTCCCGGGCATGGTCGCATGACAGACAGGAGGCTCATTCTGGTAGCCTACCGTAGTGTGCTGCGCTGGGCCCGGGACAACGCTGCCGTCCCGTTCCAGTTGCGGCGGGGGGATGTGCTGCTCCTCGCCCCCGGCGTGGTCCCGACCACCCTGCAGGACGCGGCAGCCGTTTCCCAGATCGCCCGCGCAGCCTTTCACCTGAACAAGGATCTGAAGGTGAGCACAGCGCCCGGGCGGGCCCGACCTGGGCCCACCCTGCGGCTGGGGTGTGCTCTGCCATATGGGCTGTGGCTGTGACTGCAGCAAGGTGCTCCGTCGGCGCCCTTAGGCCTGGTTCCCGTGAGGCTCACGCTTCCCGCGTCTCTCCTTGGCGGAATGGACCTGTCCAGTGTTTCCCTCTGTGTCCCATCGCCTTCCCT